TATATATATATATACACATGCATATACACACACATATATATATCACTTTCCCAATGTAGGGGTCTGATTATTGCTACACTTTTTGAAGTCTGTTCTAAATAATCACATAGAGGACATCCTCACCACCATATGCTCAGTACACGGTATGATGTGTTTTTGACATACAAAGCACATGTTAACATAAGCGCTGGTTAACTATAGCAGAGCCCAGCCAGGAAAATGACACAGAGATATGACACTTGCAATCTCAGGGAAACTACCGCTGAGGTCCATGCAGATGGTGAGAGGAATACAAAGCAGCGCCGTACAAAGACAATTCCAAACCAGTGACACCTGTGTGCTGTTGCCTATAGTCACATATGCTGTGAATCATACAGAAAACATATTTTAAAAAGCGGGATCACGTGCATTGTACTATCCCAATCATAGTACAACATGTACCCGCAATCACATGGTAAAAATATTGACATTTTATTGTTTAACACCCAGAACTGCCCAATAAACAGCTGAGCTGTCAGCCAAACCTGACCAAGGAATTGAGTACAGGAAGGCTTCCATGTGAAACAATAATCAGAGATATTGTCTTGTTACTTAATATACTGCGATGGTTTACACATAAAAAGACATCAAAACAGGGAAAAGTTAGTCCATGTATGTGTTAGATTTCAGAGAAAAACACAGAGCTCAATGCAGATGTGATTTCACTTAGCACTGTACTCTAGTCTGGTTTAAATGCATGCCAGCTGCTGCTATTATGATTATTTTGATGATCATCCACAATATTATTATTATTACCTTTATGATTGTTATCATTATTATTATTAGTATTCTCATCATCAATATTGGTATTGTTATCCTCATCATTCATCTTCTGAACAGATGTTACCAGAAGAGTTGCTGATGATCTATTATTACAGATTCAATGCTGATACACATTGTACATCTCATTCATTCTCCAGAACATAATATTTTTGTATTATTATATCTCTGTCTATCCATCACATAGCAACTACGGTAGTTTGTAGAAATGCTGGAGTTGATAAAAGAAACCCCCCATGAAATCAGCCCTTCCAGCAAGAGATCGGGGTACGTACAGAGCAGAGGGGGGCATTGAGCGGAACTTCTAGCATGGGAGTACCCCCGCAGTAATGGTGCTACTCCCATATGGGGATGAGTAGCCCCCCAGGATCTGTGCAATGCACGATCTGTAGTCCGGTTGTACCTGTGCTTCTATCCTAGAAGGTGTCACCCGAGTGATGACAGATGTCCCCGGAGGTGTCAGCCGTAGAAGTTGACTATTAGATCCGGAGATAGAAGGGGGAAGTTACAAGTCTCTTTGTCATGGAGAGGTGCGGAACGGAAGACGGGGAAGGACGATAAGTGTGTCACTCACCTTGTCGGCTTCATGAGCCTGCCCAACCCGTGGGGTCACCCTCCCATAGGACGTGCGGCGCTCATACGGGGGGCACCTTCCTCTCCCCTACATGCTGCAGCAGCCCGGCGAACACAGGCACTATCTGAGCGGTACACACAGAGCAGCTACTGGCCCCGCCCACAGCTCCGCCCACCGACACCGGCTGATCGATGTGCGGCGCTCAGTCCACACTCTGCAGATCGCGGCGGGCGGACACTGATAGAGGACCGGTGTACCCAGCGGTGTAATGACGTCACCGATCTATCTCTAGAAGTGTTACAGTGTGTGTGTGTGTGTCATCATCTCACACTTATAACATCGATGTTCACATCCGCTTACTTGTGTCTGGTCGCCGTTGGCTGCATAGAGCGGTGTTTCTAGTCATGGCGCCCTTGGAAAGAATTCAAAATCTCCAGGCACCCCAGCGTAAAATGTGTTGGGTTTTAAGGGACCACATGCAAAGACGCACGGAAAAAAGTGGGGTTCCTTCACACTGAAGCCCTGCTCCAAATTAGAAGTCATATTTCACATCAGAGCACCAATTTTTTACACCAGAGCCCCCTTTTACTTCAGAGCCCTGTCCTTTCATATCAGAGCTCCCCTTTCACATCAGGAGCCCCCCTTTACATCAAAGTCCCCTGTTTCATATCAGTGCTCCCATTACGTTAGAGCCCCCCTTTGCATCAGAGCCCCCCTTTCCATCAGAGCACCACCTTTACATCAGAGCCCCTCATTACATCAGAGCCATTCCTTTACATCAGAGCCCTTCCTTTATATCAGAGCCCTTCCTTTATATCAGAGCTCCCATTTCACATCAGGAGCCCCCTTTATATCAAAGTCCCTGTTTCATATCAGGGCCCCCATTACATTAGAGCCTCCCCTTTGCATGAGAGCCCCCCTTTACATCAGAGCCCCTCATTACATCAGAGCCCTTCCTTTACATCAGGGCCCTTCCTTTATATCAGAGCACCACCTTTATATCAGAGCCCCCCTTTATATCAGAGCCCCCTTTACATCAGAGCCCCTCATTACATCAGAGCCCTTCCTTTACATCAGGGCCCTTCCTTTATATCAGAGCACCACCTTTATATCAGAGCTCCCCTTTATATCAGAGCCCCCTTTATATCAGAGCTCCCCTTTACATCAGAGCCCCACCTTTACATCAGAGCACCACTTTATATCAGAGCACCACCTTTATATCAGAGCCCCACCTTTACATCAGAGCCCCACCTTTACATCAGAGCTCCCCTTTACAGCAGAGGCCCACCTTTACATCAGAGCCCCACCTTTACATCAGAGCCCTTCCTTTATATCAGAGCCCCCTTTATATCAGAGCTCCCCTTTACATCAGAGGCCCACCTTTACATCAGAGCTCCACCTTTACATCAGAGCACCCCTTTATATCAGAGCACCACCTTTATATCAGAGCACCACCTTTACATCAGAGCCCCCCTTTACATCAGAGCCCCACTTTACATCAGAGCACACCTTTACCTCAGGGCCCCCCTTTATGTCAGAGCAACACCTTTACATCAGAGCCACACCTTTATATTAGGGCCCTACCTTTACCTCAGAGCCCCCCTTTATGTCAGAGCAACACCTTTACATCAGAGTAAAACAAGAAGGATGCGAACTGTCTTGCAGATGAAGGCAGTTCAAGGGTTAATCGTCGGCTGGGACAAACCACAATGTCAATTTTTAAAGAAAAATCTATTTATTTCTAATCAAAGACATACAAAAAACATTGCTGAACACACGGCTGACAGTTTACTGTCAAATGGTTAAAAACGATGTCTAGTCAAACTGACTTTTCTTTAAAAATTGACATTGTGGTTTGTCCCAGCCGACGATTAACCCTTGAACTGCCTTCATCTGCAAGACAGTTCGCATCCTTCTTGTTTTACCGTAAGCTTCGGTTACGAAGCTTGACGAACCTCCCAAAAAGGGTTATCCATAAGAGCTTGATATCTCCAGGAGTGAAACAAACCCTGTATCACGTGTACCTTTACATCAGAGCCCCACCTTTACATGAGAGCTCCACCTTTACATCAGAGCACCACTTTACATCAAAGCATCCCTTTACATCAGAGCCCCCCTTTACATCAGAGCCCCCTTTATATCAGAGCCCCCTTTATATCAGAGCCCCCTTTATATCAGAGCCTCCCTTTATATCAGAGCCTCCCTTTATATCAGAGCCCCCTTTATATCAGAGCCCCTCTTTATATCAGAGCCCCACTTTATATCAGAGCCCCACTTTATATCAGAGCCCCCTTTATATCAGAGCCCCCTTTATATCAGAGCCCCCCTTTATATCAGAGCCCCACTTTATATCAGAGCCCCCTTTATATCAGAGCCCCCTTTATATCAGAGCCCCCCTTTATATCAGAGCCCCCTTTATATCAGAGCCCCCCTTTATATGAGAGCCCCACTTTTTGCTGGGACATTTTCTTGCAGAACATTTTATGAGGCCATCAGACACTTGATGAATGTCACTTGAGATGTCATTTAATTTGAACATTTGGTTTTGGAATGATTGGAGTTTTTGTTCTAAAAATGTTCCATCGCGCTCTATTGATTGTTTGCATCACTATTAGGAAATTGAACAAGCATTCTTACAAATTCTTTCACATGAAATTCTCCTGGTGTATGCATGGGCAGCTTTAGATGCTCAGATATGCATGTACAATAGGGACCTTAGACTGTGCGCTCCTCGAGGGCAGGGAATGATGTGACTGTGCACTATGTAATGTGCTGTGTAAATCGTCAGTGCTGTATAAATACCTGCATGAAATAAACAAAACCCCGAATCTTATCTCCTCTCCAACTCCAGAAAACCACTTTCTTGTAGAGCATCCTCGGAAAACCAAGGTTCTCCAGAATGCAAACAGTATGCACATTCTGTGGTGCAATTACAGCTATTGTAATGTTGGGTAAACACTTGGACATTTGTTTAGCAATTGGAACCAGTTTATGATTTAAAACAAAACCTGAAAACTGAATGGATCAATGCCGCCTAACAAGAAGAGTTTCTATTAAAAATGATCAATGATCCATACTGCAGGTCTGAGGTTGTCTTTATCTACGTGATTGTTTCTGTGATTGAAAGCTGGTTGGAAAATGGTGGAAATTGCTGAGAAAATGGGCAGAATAATTGTTTATTTAATAGCTTAAAGTGACATTAAAGTCAAAAAAATGTTCCCTCCCCCCAATGTTAATGTCAGCACTTACCTTAAATGATGTCTCTTAATCCGATCTTATTCTTCTTTCCCCGTGTTTTCATCTGTCCCTCCAGTGGTGCGGCGGCTCTCCGATCCAGCGCTGACTCCTCTGTCCCTGCAGGCACTTCCGATCCAGCGGTGTCTGCATGCGGGTGCACGTGTCCATAGACTTACCTTGTGTCTATGCTCGTCTCCCAGCCGAAAAATCCGAACTGCGCATGCGCCCGCCCCAAGGTGCTTTGCAGCCGCAGTTTCCGATTCTCGGACTGGAGCGCTCGGGCGAAAACAGGGTTCGTTTAAACCGCTGTTAAAACGTTTTTTTAAAAACTTTTTGCCTATATCTAAGGATCCCCGGGTCCATCAATGCAGCTTTTGTATAATGTATTGCTGGAATTTGTAGTCCTGTATAGCTGGTGGTATTCTACATTCCTGTATAATCATTATACAGGAATGCAGAATATCACCAGCTATACAATATACATAAAGTCACCAATACTGACAGCTACAGCCTCCCAAAAAGTTTAATCACAAACTACCACGCAATCCCACCTACTGTTTGTTTTGATGCGGGAGGTGCGTTGCGTTGCCATTAATTGAAGTCTTCCAATTATTTTGACACCTGAGGCTTCCCTGAAAAAGTCCCATATTAGGGATCCTGCTGGGAGCTTCACTCTCTCTATCAGTCCTGAAGATCACTATCACTGCGTCTAAAAGGAAGTGAAAATCCAAACTTTTGAGCTGCCACCAGAACAGGAAGTTCTGCAAAGGAAAAGTCTTCCAGTCAGGGCCGGATTTACTCCCCCTGCCGCCCCAAGGCCAGGTTCCACAATACGCCCCCCCCGCGCCGCCAACCCCCCCTCCCCATCAATTGAAAATGGCAACCAGATGGCAGGGTTGGGGGTGGCGTATTTAGAGTTATCAGTGATTGATAGGCCTAGAATTTTGCTCTCACTGCGACGTTCGAGGCGATAGGTAACATGTGTAGCGTAATTGTCGTTTTTGCGCGTATTTACGTTTATATATGGGTATACGTTCAGGTGGGGGACTTAAAAAAAAAAAAAAATTTCTTTATATGTGACTTTTATTTATTTTTTACACTCAATGTGATTGCTAGCACATTGGGGATAACAATCCCCCGATGTGATAGCACAGGCACACTGGCAGGCCCTCTTTATGGAGACATTAGGGGTCTCTAAGACCCCTAATCAGGACTGTAACTACCATGGGGCGAGTGAGGCACATGCCTCAGGTGCAGCTGATAGGGGGCACGTCCAGGGCCGGCCTGGCTGTGCCCCCTCGCCCCTCTTGTCATGGCGAACACAGGGCGCTATTGGCAACTGGGGCGCCAGGCGGCCAACACAGCCCCAACTCGACAGGGAGAAGAGGAGCGGCGCAGGCTCCAGCTTCTCTTCAGATCCCTGCTTCTCATCAGACCCGCAATATTTCCCTGAAGCTCCCAACAGTAAAAAAATAAAAAATCAATTAAACGCCCCCCCACACACACTCATGCACACATATTACTAGACATGTGCAAAGACTAAAAATTAGTTTCAGACTAAATGAACGGAAGCTAAAAATGTTTTCATTAGTTTCGTCAAACGAAACACATTTTTATGCTATTTTGTATTTGGCCACCAGCGCATTCTGGAGGCGGGGCGCATGAAGTCACATACCGCACACGTCTGTTGGAGGGAGGGAGGGGGGATTTCTCTGTTCTTGCCTCGGGCGCAAAAGGAGCTATCTACGGCTCTGCCCCTAATGTCACCTGGAGACCCCCAAAGAAGCTGATGAAGCAGAGATCTGCTTCATCAGCTTCTTCTCTCTGGCAATAGCAGCCAGATGACTGACAGGTGAATGCGGAAGTGATGTATTACACACCACTTCCGCATTCACAGCACGGAGGGAAATCAACT